AACACATGTTGAGCACTCTTGTGTTCAAAGTGTTATCTCCTCACTATGAGTAATAAAAATGAGATTCCTGGTCTCATAGAACTGTTCTACAGTTGGAGAAATCACTGTGAGAACTTGTAATTGACTTGCTCAGAGACACACAATCAGTACGTGTCAGAGGTCTGCCAAGGCTTGATACTGTCACTTTTTTTTTTTAAACTTTGCTCAAATTAGGAAATTTTAAGAATCTGGTTTATGGATGAAATGCAAAATCAAGATCTTTTATTCAGGTAGCCTTATTTTGGGTAACTTTATTATATCAAAATAATCTTTAAATAAGTTTTTAAAGAATACAATGTTGAGCATGTTAAAATAGTAATATACAAAAGAAGTGTTTTTTCCTTAAGTACAAAATTTGTTGATTCAAACCATTGATGTCCAACCCTTTTTCTTTTTCGTCTTTCCTCTATCCCCCCTGCCCTTTTTGTGGCTTAGTAATCCTTGTTAGTGCTTATTTTTTATGTAGATAGCTAATATTTCTGCTCTTTCCTCATTCCCTAGAGAAAAAAAGAATGATGGAAGTGAGTGGGTAGGATCTCGTTGCTGGCTAGAACAGGTGAGGGTCCTCCTTTTATTTCCCGGTGTTGTATTACCACCTTTTGAAATGGCCAGACTATTGGAGAACAATTTTTGGAATAATTAGAGTTCTCTATTGCAAATCCAGATTGAAAAATGGCCTGGAATCTCACATTGCTCCATTTCATTTGTAGAAAACAAAGAAAGCAGGGCTGCACTTGGTACATGATTATATTCTTGATCTAAGCCCTGTTTTTCGTTGTTTCTTTAAAGGCTTCTTAAAATATTGTGCTCCCAGAAGATTTTCAGCCGTACTTTAGTTCATTTTCCTTTGAACATGTAGAGAATGACAAATAGATACATTGTGTATATTAGCAACAAGATAATGTATGTTGGATTGACTTATAATATATGTGTTTTTCTTTAATTTCTTTGTAATTACTGTTTCATTTCTTTGACTAATTGCCATTTAAAAAAACAAGCAGTCTTATAATTCTGTGTTTCTAAATATTTTTATTATGAATAGGAGTTAATATTGTTAATTTTCCTTTCTTTTTTTACATTGTTGTTTGTCAGTTATTTTTGAAACTAGTCTTCTATAAAGTGCCCTTTTCATCTCCTTTATTTGTATTTTTATTTTTCTTTCCCAGAAATCCTGTTCTTCACAGGAGTTTTAAAAACACAAAAAGACCTAGTCAAGTGTTACAAAGATCAAGGTTATTATGTGTATAATTACTATGACTTTATGAGAAATACCAAACATAGTCAATGGATAGTCTTGTCTGGTGGCCTTTGGCAGTAATTTTATTTATACTGATAAGTTATCCTAGTCAGCCTCTTTTCATGGCCCTGTCTCTCTTGAAAGACTAGTTTGACTCCACTGGTTGGAACAAGAAAAGTTTATTCTCCTTTAGGTGAAATCTGAATATTTCCTGGGTACTTCTCTCCTGTTAGTTTACAGTCTCTGATGATTTAATGGAGAGATTAGAATGAATAATATTCTTCTTATACTGTAGCATTTTATAGAGCATTCTAAGGAAAGGTATATGATTGCTTTTTATTATATGATGTGATTGCATAAAAAGGTTAAGCTCCTTTCCTCTTTTTGGTGTATAGAGGAAATGGAACAACAAAGTTTAAAATGGGTTAAAAGTATGAGAAAACTATAGAGCCTTCTAATTATGAGTAGTCTTTGTGAAAGTTTGAACCTTTAAAAAAAAAGTTGCCAAGATTTAGGCTATTCCTGATTTCTGTGTGAATGTATTGTATTACAACTTCCAGGGGACAAGTGGGTATTTAGTCACATTTTCTTTTATCTTCCTTTTTCTTCTGAGAAAGAGTGACAGGAAGCTTCAATGAATATTTTTCTATCAAAAGCACACTCTTAAGATGAGAGGTAACCATTTATTTATATAGAATTTAACTGAAATGGAATTTTACCTTTAAAAGACAGAATTATGTCTTAGAATAAGCATTAGGTATAAAGACAGCTGTACTTCATATAGAAATTTTGATTTAGTGACATATATGTTCTAACTGTTATCCAAATAAAAATTTCATTTTTCCTTAACATCTTTAATCCTTGTTCTTGGCAATATCGGACAGAAATTTCTCTTTCTTGTTTTCTGTCACTTTCTGTCTCTGTCACTCACTGTCTCTGTCATGCTGTCTTTGTCACTCTATGTCATTCTCTCTGACCCCTCTTTGTCTCTGTTGCTGTCTTTGTCACTCTCTCTTGTCTCTCTGATGCTGTCTTTTTTACTCTTTTGCTCTCTATCCCTCTCTCTTTTCCTCCCTTTCTCTTTTTGTTGCTTTCTCTTTCTGCCTCTCTGTCTCAAAATGACAACCATATTATATAAATACACACAGAGAGATGTAAATATGTGTGTATGTAGTCAAGATGGCTTCAAAAACATGGCTGGATAGGTGCCAACTTGGAAATGGAACACTCGGGGAAAAAAATAACCCACCCAAATGTAAAGTTGAAAGGAATCAGTTTACTTCAGTAAATGTGTTACCTCATTGATGTCGATATCACCTCAGATGGAGCAGATTGCAGCCATTTTATATGTTCCTCCCCCATGGGTCTTGCCATGCCCTACCATAAATCCTGGGTTCTCTAAGAGTCTATCAATAGAGAATTACTGAGTTCAGCAAACTGTACAGTCTTTGAGTACAGTGGGAGACTATGGTGTTGTCTGAGAACCAGCCTTGCTGAGTAGGGAAAGACTCATCACCTGTGGATTGGCCAAGAGGAGATGAATTCTTTGGCCATGGCAGAATATGAGAATCACCAGTCCAGCTGCAGAAAGCTCATGGTGGACCAATATAAATTAGAATTTATATTGGTCCACAAATTGCATATATTATAGAATTTTATATTTTGTTATTGTATACTGACATAAGGATGATATATAAATATTAGAGAGTATACTGGCATACCTTTTGCATGATTTGTGATCATTTGCATGTAGGACTTTAAAACAACATTGTGACATTATGAAAGATGAAAACATTTTTGGTTCAGTAAATTGAAAGCCAATCTAGCAAAACATTTTGGTTTTTTGATTTTCTTTTTTTTTTTTGTGCTTAGTACTAAAGAAAGGTGTACTAAATCTAAGTAATTCAGGAAAAAATAGAGAAAGAATACTTTTCCCTATCATTTATTTCTTCCTCTTGTATTAAAGAATATATGCTACCCAGCGTTCCATAAAAACTACGCCCATTAGATTATCTTGTTAATAGAATTAAATACCATTGAGTTTGTCCGGTAAGTAATACTGGTCTTGTTTTACTAGTTCTTCAAGGTTATGCAAAGAGTATCTGACAAAAAGTAGAAGTACCTAGGTCAGTTTACAATATAACACTGAATATTATTTTGTGTGTTAGAGTTTTGAAATACATATATACAATAATTATAATAGCTCATACAAATGAGGCTTTGAAAGCTAAAAGCATTCTTTGCTCACAAAATTGTGAAGTAGTATAGATATTCCTTATTTTATAGATAAGTAAACAGGCTCAAATGTGGAGTGGCTTGCTTAGTCAAGTGTCTAGGAAACATAATTTTCCAGGAAACTTAAAGTACTAAAACTACATTGTTAGGGGAAAGGAATAATAAAATATCTTTAGAATCTAGCTGTGTATTGTTTAAATGTTTTTAGTTCGGTTGTTTTTCAGTCATGTCCGATTCTTTGTGACCCCATTTGGGGTTTTCTTGGCAAAGTTACTGTAGTGGTTTGCCATTTCCTTTTTCAGATTATTTTACTGCTGAAGAAACTGAGGCAAAGTGTTAAATGACTCGCTTGGGGTGACACAGCCAGTATGTGTCTGAGGCCAAATTTGAACTCAGGAAGGAAAATGAGTTTTCCTGACGCTAGGCCCAGCACTCTATCCACTGCTACCACCTAGCTGCCTGTTTAAAAATTGGGCAATTTAAATTATTCATTTGTTCCTATGGGTTTGGTATATTTTATGGGTTACAAATATGAAATTCTCACTATATTACTTTGTATCACTAAATGGAATTTTATTAAAAATGATCATTACCATATCTACCCATTTGTGATATAAATCACAAAGTTGAAAGCAGAAAACGAAGAAATCAAACTAAATAGTTATTTTGTATTTGAATATTTTTTGAATTAATTCTGTTGACTTCTTTTTATTATTTTCTTTTAAGGGGAAGTAGAAAATAGAACAGTGTTAACCATGGTGTCAATTAACGTAGCTTGTTTTGCTGTACATTGTTTTTTACCTATTTCATTGTTGGCTGATACTTTTATGGTCTTTCTTTAACTAATAGAGCAAAACAGCTTTCCTTAATTTTATGTCTGGAATAGACAAATCTAAACATGGAGAAAGGGATAGGAATAGGATGCATTATTTGATTGGCATAGGGAGTTTCCAGGGGAAGAAACACTACCAATGCTGATTGCCACCTCTGTTATTTGTAGTCTTAGAGGATTGTCTCGAGCACTGCTGGTCTTGGAGATGTGCTCAGGGTCACACAATCTATTTCTGTTGGAGGCAGGACTTGACCCACTTTTCCTCACTTCACGGCTATCTCTAGATCAGCTTTCCCAAGCTGCCTCTCTGGTTTACCAGCTGAAGGCATTTTGGGCAATACTATTTCTTTTTGGTGGGTTGCTCCTATGTAGAAATCTTTTATGTAGAGTATAATACTCCGGATGATGGTAACAAGTGTTACCTTTTAGTAATTTTGTAGTAAACAGGTTTGTGAATAATTGAAATACTATGGTTAGAGAAATGATGATTCTTAGAAAGTATGTCCAAGAGTACACTTTTAAATAAAATCCTAATTATACAAAGAGATAAGTTAGATGAGCTCTTTCTTTGCAGCTCACTTGATGTAAGTCTTCTGGTGACTGGTGCTTGGTCAGGACATATTAAATAGTTCCATGTCCCCTTTTCTGTTTGCACAGGTAATTAAAGTGTATAACGAAGATGGTACCAGCAGAGCATTGGAAGTACCAAGTGATATAACAGCCAGAGATGTTTGCCAGTTGTTAATCCTTAAGAATCATTACATCGATGACAACAGTTGGACTCTTATTGAACACCTTCCTCACATAGGTTTAGGTAAGAAGACAGAGCTGGATTTTCATTTAATTCAGCAACTATGATAATTTCTCAAGGATCATCTATCTCACAAATACTCTTCCTTTTTTAACATGGGGAAGATTGTTCTTCAGGTAAACACAATTTGTGGAAGATGTGGACTAAAATCAGGTAGAAATAGACTCTCGGCTCAGATTTTTAAAATCTAGCCACGGCTCAGACTCTTATAATCTAGCCAATAGTTCAGTAATGTTCAGATTCCCTAAGAGTCTGGTCAATATGGCGGATGTTCCAATAAACCTTGTCTTTGGCTGAAAAAAAAAGATTAAGATGATTTGTATTTAATAAGTTGGAAAAAAGGGGGGGGGCAGCTAGGTGGAACAGTAGATAGAGCTCCAGCCTTGGAGTCAGGAGGACCTGAGTTCAAATCTGGCATCAGATACTTGACATTTACTAGCTGTGTGACCCTGGGCAAGTCACTTAACCCCGATTGCCTCACCAAAAAAAGAAAAGAAAAAAAAAAGAAATAGACTCTCATCTTACTTTTTCTTAAAAGCATTAACAAAAAATAGCATTGGTTTCAGTAGAAGACTTAATGTGTTGCAAATTTATTTACCGTCTCTTTTTTTCAGATGAACATTTAGCAACTTGGATTATTTCCTTGAGCCAAAACATTGACTTGTCCAGGGAAATTCTAAACTGATGGATGTTTGTTCCTAACATTAAAGTTGTCTGGGAAGAGATAGATAGATAGATAGATAGATAGATAGATAGACAGATAAATAGAGGGCACAGGGTGAGTTGAAGATGAAGGGGTCATATCTGGAGAATAAAATTAAGGGGTGAGAGAGGATTATACTAGGAGAAGGAGAAAAGGAGAGGTAGAACAGGGTAAATTATTTCACAAAAAAACAGAAAAGAAAAGGCTCTTACAGTGGAGGGGAAATGGGGGAAGGTGAGAGGGAATGAATGAATCTTATTCTCGTAAGATTTGACTTAAGGAGGGAACATACACACTCATTTGTGTATGGAAATCTGTCTTACCCTACAGGAAAATAAGGGGAGAAGGGAACAATAGAGTAGGGGGATGATAGAGATGAGAGCAGATTGGGAAAGGGGGTTATCAGAAGCACATATTTCTGAGGAGGAACAGGGTCAAAAGAAAGAATAGAATAAATGGGGAGGAGCAGGATAGGATTAAGGGATATTAATTAGTTTAGTTAGTTAGAGTTAGTTTTTCACAGCATGTCTACTATGGAAGTGTTTTGCATAACTGCACATGTATAACCTATATTGAGTTGCTTGCCTTTTCAATGAGGGTGGGTGGGGAGGGAGGGAGGGAGAAAATTTGGAACCCAAAGTTTTAAAAACACATGTTTAAAAAAATGTTTTCACATGCACCTGAGAAATAAGAAATACAGGAAATGGGGTACGGAAATCTATCCTGCCCTACAGGAAAATAGAAGGGGAAGGGGATAAGAGAAGAAGGGGAGAGATAGAAGGGAAGGCAGAGTAGGGGAAGGGGTATTCAGAATGCATACCATCTTGGGGTGGGGGGAGGGGCGAGATGGGGTGAAAATTTGAAACTCAAAATCTTGTGGAAGTAAATGTTGAAAACTAAAAATAAATAAATTTATTAAAAAAATGCTTAAGTGCCTGACACATAGGAGTTATTACACAAATACTTTTCCCCTTCCCTTTCCTTTTCCCCTGTACTACTACAAGAGCCTCCAGTTGGTCTCCCTGCCTCAATTTTCTCCTCTCTCCCGATGCCTGCTTCCCATGGTTTTCAAAGTGAAAATACAAAAGCATGCATCTGACACATGTCACTTCCAACTCAATAAAGTCCAGTGGCAACTTTAAAAAGGATTTTTTAATCCTCTAGGATTAAATTCACAAATTCACAACGTTGCCCCAACCAACTTTCTAGCATTAGTATTTATTGTTCTCCTCTAAACCTCATTACAGATTCCGTGAAACTGGCCTATTCCTCACATGTGACACTATCTCTGTGCTCCATGACTTTGCATAATCTGTTCCCTCCCTACCTAGATTGTACCCCCTCCTCATCTCCACATCTTCAAATTCCTAGTTTCCTTCAAAATTCAGCTTACGTACCACTACCTAAACTACTCCTTTCCTGATCTCACCACCCAATTGGGCTCTCCCACAAAAAAAAAATGTATTATTATGTTTTACCCAACAGAATGTAGATGGTTTAATTTCTGGCTATCTATCCCTAGTGACTCATACAGTGTCTGGAACATAGTAAGTGCTTAATAAATGCTTGTTGATTAACTGACATTCTCCACATGTAAAAGTTAGGGAAATACATGCTTTAGCTGTTTACACTGAAAACTGAAGTAGCAATTGGGGAAACTGTGTTGCCCCACTTGACAATACAAAAAAAAATGTCTTCAAGAGCCAACTTGATTTTAGTAGCTATTTCATATATTTAAACCAGATTGGAAGGTATACTTCAGGTTTCCCAGCATCTACCACCAGGATGAACACAACAAATGCCCAAATTATGGCTTATCTCATTCAGATCCCTACATGTTCTTACTAGGCCACCAAATGAGGTTGTGAATGTAAAATGATATATAGGAATATAGAATGATAGTTTGGAAGGATTGAATATTAGAGAGAAAGAGAGGATCCGATAATCTAGTTAGTTCAAAGACAAGATCTAGAGCACGAGTACTGAGGTTGTCCAGGGTGAGTGGGGGAGAGAATATTTATATCTATATGTCTGTCTATATCTGTATCTCATACACACACAGACACACATAAACATGTACTCACTTTCTGGTGAGAACACTCCCCCTGCCAATACAGATCAAAACCTGAATTGCAATTTATAGTATTACAGTGTTGTCTGGGAATTGAGAAATTAAGAGACCTGCCTAGGGTAACATAGGCAGCATGTGTCAGAGACAAGACTTAAACCCAAGTCTTCCTGACTCAAAGGTTGGCACTCTACCACTATTTTACATTGTTTCATATGTATGTAATTTTTTTTTTAGGTAGACTGTTTCCATGTGCTTTTGAGATTTTAGTATGAGGTAAAGTGAAAATTAAATTCTTCTTGTAGGCGTCAAGTGGGAAGACAAATATATTTAAACATTTTTTTTCTGGAAAATGGTTAAAAAAAAGAATATGAACCAATAATCTTTTTCTAAAATGTCACCTGATACAGGCCTTGGAACCATACTTAAATTATTTTAGTCAATTGATCAGTCAGTAAATATCAAGTCCTTACTATGTGCCAGGCACTGTGCTAAGTGCTTGGGGTTATAAACAGAGGCAGAAGACAGCCCCTGCCCTCAAGGAGCTTATCTTCTACTGGGAGAGACAACATGCCAACGAATATATACAAAGCAAGCATAGACAGCATGAATAGGAAATAGTTAAGGAGAGAAGGCCCTAAAATTAAGAGAGATTGGGAAAAGCTTTCTATAAAAGATGAGATTTTAGTTGGGACATAAGGGAAGTCAAGGAAGTCAGTAGGCACAGTTGAGGAGATAGTGTTACAGGTGTGGAGGACAAACAGAGAAAATGCCTGGACGCAAGAGATGGAGTATCTTACTCCTGGAGTAGCCAGGAGGCTGGTGTTACCATGTTTATCTTGCTTTTTGATTCAGGTTAAAACCTTTGGAATTAAAATTACAGATCTTTTTTTATCGTAATCAAATTTAACTAGTGGTAAAATATACAAGTATTTCTTTTAAGTAGCCTGTACTAACTTGTCACTTACCTTATTGCCAAATATCAAACTGATAACTATTAGTTCTTATTCATGTCTTATAAATAATCTTGAGATATCTTCCAAGATGAATAGCAGCATTGAATGGCATTTTTTTCCTATTACTTTTTATAGTGAATGAAGATAAATTATGTTTTTCGTAGCTGTAATTATGAGTAAATAACAGAAAATGTCCTTGAATTAGATAATGGATTTTTGATTTGCTCACCTGTAAATGAAATTTATAATGCTAACAGCCTATTGAACTAAAGACTGATTTGACAGAACTTCTCTGATTAAGTGTGATGGGTTCTACAGAATTTTTGACTAAAATTTCTCAGTCAACAAAGTGCGTATCCAGAAACAAACTTCTAAGATTCAGGACCATTTCCCCTCAAATCTAGTCCACAGTTATATCTACTAGACATCACTTAGGTGCAACATGTACAAAAACAAGTATGAAACTCAAAAATTGAGGGAGAGAACACTTAAAAATGCATGATATTGGTGATGCAGAGAATGAAAATTAGGGAATGCTTCTTGGAGGAAATAGCATCGAAATGAACACAGCATTATATAGATAGATAAAACATATATGAGCTCTTACTATGCTTCAGGCAGGGATTCAAATATAAGAAAGAAAGACAGGCCCTGCCTTCTAAGAGCTTAAATTCTGATGGGAGAAAATGACATATAAAGGGGGAGTGGCAGTAGGGTATGTGCTAGCTTGGTATGGAAATGAACTAGAAGTGTGGATGATGTGAGGATCTGGGCAAGATAAGACCAAAGCTGGCTTGGCTGAACCCAGTATAGTTCCAGTGACTCTGTTCAAGATTCCAGTGGGGAAGAGGTGGAGATGGCCCAGTAGGTCATGACATGGAAAGGCCCTGGAAGTGCAGTGGAAGTCTGACTCTGAAAGGCAGAAATGAGGATGGGATTACATACCGGGCATGTACAAATGCAAGGAAGCAGAAATTAGAGTCTCAAGTTTGAGGAAGTGCTAGTATTCTAATTAGCGTGGAATACAGAGTTCATAGTAGTATGAAATAAAGTTTAAAAATGGTTTGGAACCAGATTATGTAGAACCTTAAATGCTAACCTGAGAAATTTGCATTTTATCCTATAGAAAACTGGAAATTATTGAAGTAGTTTCAACAGGGTTGGGTAGTAAAGTAGACAGAATTCTTATAAACTGATATTTGAAAATCCTGCCAGTCTGGCATTTTTCCAAATTGCTTTCCAGAATGACTGGACCAATTCCCAGCTCCACCAGCAG